TATATATAGAATTTTCCCACTGCACGCGTAATAGCTGGGTTTGAGTCCTGGAGGAGAAAGCCCACATAAAAATTGTCCGCCTTCCCTGGCGATCTCTCTAGTAAGGGGAGAATATATAATGACCTATAAACTCTGTATAACTCACAGTACAATAAAACATGTGAGATATCTTCAACTTCTCCTTTACCACATATACATACACGTTCTGCTATTAGTGTTTTCTTATACCTGCCCTGAAGGAGTGCTGATAGGAGAATATTAAATCTGGCTCTGAAGAAAGCTATTCTTTGTTTTGGGAAGATCAGATCATTTAGATATCTTGCTGATTCCCACTCCCTGTTCGATTCTGTCCCTGCTGTGGAGAACCAACCTATTTAGTTCTTCTTGGAACTCCATATCCTTCATTCTATTGATTACTACTTGCTTTGCTTGGTCAAAGCCTAGGGACATTAAGAATACTAGTGAGAGCCCATAGGACCCCTGCTTGTGGTCTATCGCCTGCTTCCAGGGGGAGGGGGAGTTATCAGTCAGTATTAGTGGGGTCAATCCCTCTGGAAAGAAATGCATTTTTAGCCAATGAATGATCATCATCTTCCAGGCTCTTACCTGAATTTGAGGCATGCCTGCCTCGATTCTTAACTGGGCATTTGGAGTTCCTTTGGGTACATCTAAGATGGCTTGCAGGAATTTGGTTTGTATATTGCAAGTCTTTTTTTGCAAGGATTCCTGTTTGTGCCCCATATAGAATTTGTGCCAATGTTTTGGCCTCAAAAATTTTTAAGGCCGCAGGTACTAATTGCCCTCCACCGGTGTAAAAAAAAAATGCGTTTGAGGACCTATAGGCTGCTTGCAATGTGTGATCCAGGTATGCCTTCCATGTCCCTTGCAAGTGGAAAACCACCCCAAGATATCTGAATGTCCTAACCTGTTCTAAACTATGTCCTTCTATTTTTCCAGGAGTATTGTTTAGGTTTTTTAGCAAAAACTAAAACTTTTGATTTATCAAAGTTAAGGACCAGCTTATTCTGTCTACAATATTCAAATGTTGCCATAATTGCTCTCTTCAGTCCTATGGGAGTTTGTGAAATTATAGCAGCATCGGCATATAGGAGAATTGGGATTTTACATTGTGCTACGTTAGGAGGATGTAAGTCAGGGTTCTGTAAGAGATCGATCAGGGGATTAATATAGAAGTTAAAAAGGGAGGGGGACAGGATGCAACCCTGCCGTACCCATTTTTGTACTCTTACTGGGCAGGTTAAAGTCCCTTGAGGATTACACTTCACTTTCAAGGTGGAATTAGCATACAATTTTTGTATGAGGAAAGGGAGGCATTTATCGCTGGTAGTGCTTTTTAATTTCTTCCAGAGGGTGTTCCTGGATATTGAATCAAAGGCCTGCTTAAAATCAAGGAAAGCCACGAAAAGAGAGGATTTTTTTTTTAAATTTTTTAACCAGATGGTGAAGTACCAAGACATGATCCACCATTGATCTTCCTTTGCTAAAACCAGCTTGCTCATCTTTGATTACCCCCCAAAAATTAACCAATCCTGAAGTCTATACTGTAGTTTAGGTGTTTTAGTATACAATTTACTAATAACACTCAGAAAGCTAATAGGTCTATAATTGCTTGGGTCATTTCTAGGACCTTTTTTTATAAATTGGTATGATAATTGCTAATCCCCAATCTCTTGGCATACAGCCTGTTTTATCTATAAATGTAAACAGAGATGCTAAAAGTGGAGCCCACCAACTGGCATTCTTTTTGATTATTTCTGGCCGGACATTATCAGCATCTGGCGCCTCATTAGCCTTGAGGGTTCCGATCATCTAGGATATATCTCCTGATGTAACCGGGGCCCAGTAAGGAGTTTGGTCTAAACTAATTTGGCTCTCCTTAAATTAGATGGCTAAATAAATTGCATAGAATATTTGCAATTGCTTCTCACTTAGCAAAGAAAATAGAAATATGGCTGAATATTCTTGCATACACTATAATATTGAACCTTCCTTTCTTTGCTTATGCCTACAACTAAGAAGATGTGAGCAAGCCCTTTAAGGTGATCTTAGTTAAATAGGAGCCCCATTGGATTTTTCTGCAGTTAAATTCATGATATCACTGAATGTTAGTTTAGGTGGTGGCATTCATTAATACTTTCACTTTGCCGTTTCCTGGAGCTCTGAATTATCTTACTTACCTAAAGCTTGTTGCCTGGTTATGAGAAGGAAATGTTTATATTAAGTACAGAGCAAGCATTTCGTCATTCCTACTGACAGATGTCGTTTGGTGCAGCATTTAACTATGAAAACTGGGCATCATTGTTTTCCTGTAGAAAACCATGGTAACTGTCAATGGCAAGTCAAGGGTTGCTATGAATAAATTCTCTGCAGTCTGTATTTTTGTACCACACGTGAAAAAAACTGAGGAGCACCATAACCCATAAAGATCGGCCTTGTCTGTTCGGCATAAAAGACTTTTTCACCCTTTCTGCTCTAAAGAAGAGTGTTTTGCCAAATTGAACATATGCCTAAATGTACATTTTATTGGGACTATTTCCTTCATCTTTAGTAGGATTCTTTAAATAAAATCTCTACTGCTTTGATGTCAGTTCCCTTCTTACGAAGGCAGGATAGCACTGATTTATAACATCGGAAAAGATATATAATAGATATGGATGATATAGATACACATCTATGCATCCATCTATGGTCTCTCCATCCATCACCATGCCAATATTTCGAAGATAAATGTGATGTGTTGGGTAAAAAAAGTACAGTAATGAATACAGTAATGAATATTGTTGAATAATTCTGTTACAAATTGTTGTTTGTAGTAAATTAATATGGTAACTGGCAGGGTTGCCAGTTACCATATTAATCTACTGGTAAGTAACCCTAACCCCACTAGCATTACAAAGTGCTTACACCTTCCTCTCTTGTGCGAAGAGAAGTTACTGTATATAACAATGAAGATTGCCATCAAGTTCTTTGCTATGGAGGTGGTTGCAGCCTTATAGAATAAACCCGTGGAATAAAAATGCACACGGATTGATTTCTCAACCCTAAATATTACATATGGTTTTTATACAATATTTTATACAATTTTTATTCAATATAAAAATTAAAATTAATAAAATGAAAATATGGGGATGTACTGAAAGTGAAATTTTAAAAAAGGAAATAAAAAATGTGCGCAATAAGAAAAAAAAATTAGAGACAACTTTTGATCTTTCAGCAGTTGTATACAGACTTAATATTACCTCTCATTTAAAATTGTATGCATAGTTCATTTCTTCCCATGTCCAGCCCTTTTCATGTGGCAAATCTAAAAATCATCAGTTCATTTCTATCCATATTCAGCCAAAATACTTATTATCTTATCCCTGATCAAAAAGGTCAACTTTACATTCTTCTCTCTTCTGCAGTATTCTGCTGTTAATAATCCTCTGCTTAATATTGAGCTGTTGTTGTAGTACCTGGTCTCTTTGACTTCTTCCTAACAAGGTCCATTGATATATTTCTTGGTGCATTCCTTGACTTTTCATTTCTTGTATTGATTCACTTTTGCATCCACATCTTCCATATTGAATTTTTAAAAGGCTTCATCAACCTTCTCTTTAATATAGTCACTAGATTGTCCAGTAATTGCTGTCAATCTCAAACAGAATTGTTTCACTTTTGAATCAAGATCACATTGTCATCACTTTTTTAATCTCTTGGTTTAATGCTTCTCTCTTATTTGCATTGGAGAGTCTTCATTTTTATTCATCTTTTGTTCAACTTCCCCATTCATCTTTAGTACAGATTCTTCAATTTTTAAATTCATTTTTCTTCTTTGTTTATAAGTTTTTCCTCCATCCACTCTTCTTTATTCCCCCCCCCCCACACTTCTCTGAATTCTCAACTCTTTGCACCCATTTAGCACTCTGTAGTTTTATAGTCAGATGACCTTTTATAACTTTCCCTTATCTCTTTGCTTAACAATTGTTTTCTTGCCTAACTAATTGTTTTCTTTGGCAAATTTAAACAATCCTTTTTCACACAGAACTATGCATTATTTATTTAATTATTTCAACAATTATTTTTGAAGCAAGTAATTCCAAACCGAGCTGTCCCCTTAGTTCATTTTAAGCCTTCCTACTTTAAATTCTTAGCTGGCTTTTTGCTTTTTATTATTTTTAAATCCTTGTTTGTCTTTATTTAGTTTTAATCTTTAATCTTGGTCAAAGGAACTCCCAAGATAGTGTTAAATAGGCTCTGCTGAGGCTGTGAGCCTGATGTTTCTTCCTTGGCTCTCAGCGGTCATACTTGTGAGGAACCCTGCAAAGTTCTGCAGATCTCCTCACAAGGAGTTGCCTTCCAGAATGCACATGGGCAATCTCCTGGCTTCTCCTTATCCAGAGAAACTCCACTACCTCAGGCTTTCTACCTAATCACTATTCTTTACCTCAGCATTGTCTCCACAGTTTGTAGGCACATCATTTCTCATTTTCTTCACCCAGAAATCCCTTTCTGCAATAATTTTAATAAAGTAAATATTCATATTATATTTTGAAATTAAATTGAAGGGATGTATTGTACAAAGAAACAGTGAACAATAATGTTATTGGCTTGGCTTTGCTTTGCTTTAGGTTTGTTAGCATTGATGGTGATGGCGTTTGCTAGTAGTGTTCTGCTGGCTTTTTCATAAATGTTTTTGGTAAATAAAATCGCTTTGCTTTTCAGCAGAATTGTTTGCCTCCCTGATCGTACAATATAGTTCTTCTTTTAGAATGTTGTGCTGTAAAAGGCAGTTCAACGTTTTTCACAAACAACTTGCATTTAAATCATTTTGTTCTGTTTTTTGGTAGGATATCAATAACTAGAGTGACAGCTGACATTTCTCTTGCCAAGAGATCGGTTTTAAATAATCCAAGCAAAAGGGCAATAATTGAACGGTCAAATACCAGGTCCAGTTTAGGTAAGTTTTTTTCCCCAGAAATAAATTGTGATAGTTTTGCATGGTGATGGCTATTTCTTCTCCCCACCCCACCGCACCCTCTCCCCTACCCACCCCACAATTGTATGGAGGAGGGGAGAAGTATTCTGTTACAAAAACATGGAATTGCCATGCTCTGATCCTTGCCAAGAGAGGAGACGAGCTGGATCAAGATACTGCTCAGTGATTCATTACGGGAGCAAAGATACTGCCCTTAACTCCTTCAAGTCCTCAAGAAGCTTGCCTTGGGACCAGCAACTTTGGGCAAATAGTGTTCTATCCCTAACTTTCCCTTTCAGAGGAAGATGGTAGATCAGCATTACCGAAGGTTGTGGAAAAATCAGATTGCTTATATTTCTGGGCAGCAGTTTTAGGCCAGAACATGGGATGGAAACAGAGGTGGTATTCAGCAGGTTCTGACCAGTTCTGGAGAACCGGTAGCAGAAATATCGAGTAGTTCAGAGAACCGGCAAATACCATCTCTGACTGAAGATTTTACAGTACCCTTCCCCTACCACGTCCACCAAGCCATGCCCACAGAACTGGTAGTAAACCAGTTTAAACAAATGGCAACTTCAAATCTCAACAAATAAATGCTCTGTCTTACATATTGGCAAAAAAAATCAGAAAATAAAATACAAGCTGAATAGTCAAGATCTTGTTGATGACTCAAGCTCTGTAAAGGACCTTGGAATACTCACCTCTAATGATCTAAGTGCTAGAGCCCACTGCAACTACATAGCCAAAAAGGCATTAAGAGTTGTTAACCTAATCCTACGTAGCTTTTTCTCTGGTAATATCACACTACTAACCAGAGCATACAAAACATTTGCTAGACCAATACTCGAATACAGTTCATCAGTCTGGAACCCACACTACGTATCTGATATTAGCACAATTGAGAAAGTCCAGAAATATTTCACAAGAAGAGTTCTCCACTCCTCTACTCGTTGTAGAATACCTTATGCCACCAGACTTGAAATTCTAGAACTTGAAAACCTTGAATTACGCCGTCTTCGGTCTGACTTAAGCATGGTATATAAAATCATACATTGCAATGTCCTACCTGTCAATGAATACTTCAGCTTCAACCATAACAACACAAGAGCACACAATAGATACAAACTCAAAGTAAACCGCACCAAACTTGATTGCAGGAAATACGACTTCAGCAATAGAGTGGTCAATGTCTGGAATACTCTACCCGACTCTGTAGTTTCTTCCCCAAACCCCAAAAACTTTAACCTTAGACTGTCTACTATTGACCTCACCCCTTTCCTAAGAGGCCTGTAGGGGGCGTGCATAAGCGCACCAACGTGCCTACCGTCCCTGTCCTATTGTTTCTCTTATTCTTTTATTTTTCTTAAATGTACCCATTTCATGTATTCACAACTATGTATACATTTATACTTATTATCTTGTAAACAATTGGCAAATCAAATAAATAAATAAAAAAAAAAATTTGAATCCCACCACTGGATGGAAACCACACTGACAACTCTTGTGGATGAGCTAGTGGGGAGAAAGTAATAGCCTTTGGTCGATTAGATCTCCTAGTGGGCTTTAGCATCATCAATCCTGGTGTTCTTTTGTCTCATTATGAGGGCTGGGAATTGAGAGTACTTTATTATAGTAGTTCTGCTCTTTCCTAAGCAAGCCATTTCAATTGGGGATAATGGGAGAGGAGACATGGAGCCCCTGGACTCCAGTATCAAGGTTGCCCCACTCCTTAATTTATTTAATATGTAGATGAAGCTACTGGGAGAGACAGTGTCTTGGTACAAGGTATGTAAATGGTAAAACCTTTCCTTTTTTTTTTTAACCATCCATCCTATAATGGTAGTTTATTATTTGTTTTCTTTCCATTTGGTTTTGCATTTATTGACATTAAATACACAATGATTAGAAGGCACATCTCTATATTAGACGGATCTTCACCACAGTGGAAATACTGTATACGAAGTTCAAAGTTGCATGGAGAGAGAATGAAGCTTGAATTGAAGAGAATTCTCTCTCTGCACAGCTTCTATTTTTTTCAAATAATGTGGTGTCTTATTTTAGTTACCTAGAATTAGGGATGCAATTGAAAACTTGAGTATCAGAAATCGCAAGTACAGCTAAAGTGGTATCTATGTGTAAACATAAGTACTTTGATTTGTTCCAAAATATGTGACTCATGTTTTCTGGGTCTTTTTCATTTTTTTCAGCGGAAGTACAGAGTGAGATTGAACGAATTTTTGAACTGGCACGATCCTTGCAATTGGTTGTTCTAGACGCAGATACAATTAATCACCCTGCACAACTTATTAAGACATCGTTAGCTCCAATTATTGTCCATGTTAAAGTGTCATCTCCAAAGGTTAGCCACTTTGTCTCTTGGCTTTTCTCCATTCATACCTGTCCTTGTTGAAACATTTTTCTTTGCTGTGTGTATGACATGTTACCTGCATCTTATCTCTAGCCCATGTTTAAGATAATGTAGCTTTAAGTTGTCCTTAGATATAATTTTACTCTTCAGTGAACACCACCCCACAGCAGCTGAAGATTTGTAAAATGTATTATGTTTCACCATGTACTAAATTAGAGGTTATATCAAGTGAAAAGTACAGATAGTCCTCAACTTACGACCACTTACAACCAAATTTTGAGCCCAAAATTTCTGTTGTTTAGTGAGACGTTTGTTAAGTGAGTTTTGCCACATTTTATGACTTTTCTTGCCACAGTTGTTAAGTAAATCACTACAGTTAATAAGTGAGTATAGCCTGGTTGTTAAGTGAATCTGGCTTTGCTTGTCAGAAGGTCACAAAAGGATCCCAGGACACAGCAGAGGTCATAACTATGAACCCGTTGCCAAGCATCTGAATTCTTATCACATGATCATGAACATATAGAAAAGAAAAACCACGAGTAATTATTAGGTTCTAGAGAAAGAATGCAAAGGAATTAGTAGCCCTTGAACAACATTCTAAGCAAATCATGAAAGGGCACAAGTGAGATACCTCTAAAAATAGAAATTTGAGAAGTACCTGGAATTTGACTGACTTAATAAAAGTGGAGAAAATATACCTTTCATTAGAAACCACCATAAATGATATTAAGGAAATATTCTGGTCTGTGGTGGAGAATGCTATGACATCAGATTATTATTATTTTTCCAAAGAAGACCTTATTTTCCACTGTCCTGGCTTCTGGTCTTAAGACAGTGTACTTTACTTACTCATTCAATTATTTGTTTTCCTTCAACTTTCAATGCAAACTCTTTTCCTTTGATGAAATATGTCTGAAATCATCCTGTTGATGCTTTTTTATTCTTCTCTGCCTTTTCTTTGATCACATTCAATTATAGAGGTCAGATCATATGGATAAAATTATTTTACTTTGGTATTTTCCAAAGCACCTGCTTGTTGCTCTTAAGCTAAATGCTAATAAATACTAGTCCAGGCATAGATAAGAATTCAGCCAATGATATTTGTAGACACCATGTTTTAAGAGGGCCCAATCCCTTGGCACAGGATTATCCTGGTCAAATAAAATACACAGGTCCAGCAATAATACTGAGAATTCTATTAGAGGAGGACAAACTTATACAGAGAGTTACAACAAGCTTTTGAGTTTAGTAGGTGAAGCATAAAATGCAAAGTATCGTGTCACTAAAAAAAGAAGTTTGACAGCCATGAAACAACCTCACTGTTACTTTGCATTGTCTTTTCAGGTTTTACAGCGGCTGATCAAGTCAAGAGGAAAGTCGCAGAGCAAACATTTAAATGTCCAGCTGGTTGCAGCCGATAAGCTTGCACAGTGTCCGCCAGTAAGTTCAGGGCCATATTTTTAAGAACTTATGTAAACAATAAATATAGAGATAGCAGAATCTTTTGTATTAATGCAGTACTGCTTTATTTCCCAATACATTTATTTTCAGGAGATGAGAGCTATAATGGACAGCTGATCAAATCCCAAATGTGTTCAAAAATAGGTCACGAGTCTTGGCAAAGAAGCTCTCCTCTTTCCATCTACAGCCAAAAATCAGGGCCAGGGCCTGTTGTGAGGTGTAGGACTATAGTAGCTACTGCACTTACTATTCTTTTCTTTAACAGCCCGCTACCTTTCTACCCACCTCCAAGCCTTACCCCCGAGTCATCCCTTTTGTCTTAGCTGCTCTTGCCTTCTGGGAGCTCTGCGTACATACGCACTGGGAACGGGCTCCCCTTGTTTCTCTGCCTCACTGCTGCCAGACTCTGGAGGCTCCGGAGTCAGCACACAACTCCCAGATGGTCCTGGCCCCATCTCTGTATCGGACGCCGGACCTTTGGCCGAGTCCTTCCCAGACTGGTCTCCGTTCTTGCCCACTGTCGGATTCCGCTGCTGTCTGCACAGGCTGCCAGCGAACCACAACATGATGGATGTTCTAGTCACAATTGTTGAGATAAGTCAAGAATGGCTGTAATTATTTATTGATGCATAGTTTCCTTTAGCATACCAAATCCACTGAGAACATTGGTTTTTGACTCCATCTATACAGTACAGTATACACCAGATTTCTTTCTGTATATCTGGCAAGTTTGGGTATGTTTTTGAACAGAGGATATATTTTAATATTCAGCAAGGATTTAACTTCATTAATTTACATTGTGTTGTAAACCTAGATTCTGAAGTAGAATATTAATAATTAAGAATCCTTTATCAGCTCCAAATCCTTATGAATTTTTCATAATGGCATTACATGCTGATGCTAAGATCGGCTCTTATTATGCAAATGCTGTAAGCATCAGCATTTATTACACCAAATGTCCTGATGTAGGAGCTGTGTAAAGAAAGTTTTTAAAAACAACATAACATTTTTATTACACTGTATTCTAAATGTCCTCATTCTTTTATTTGGCACAGTGTAAAAGATATTAGCTGTTATTCTGAAACAGCTATTACAAAACACGTTTCCATTGCAAACATTTTCTTTCAGAATTCTAGTTGTTACTGGAAGATCAACTATTAATTTGGCTGTGTAAATTCTAACTGAAGTGCACATGGAAGATTTCTGTCTGAGAAATGTGACAGTATGTCAAGGATAAAGTTATAGCAGTCTTCCATAATTTTGTAATCTCCACATGTTTGGAGACGACAAGCTTTCATAGTTTGCTGTTAGCAAAAGATTTGGGTCAGGAATTCTGGGAGTTGTAGTCCACACAGATATGGAGAACAAAAGAGGAGGAAAGCTGCATTAAACTTTAAGAATATAGGTGAATAAGAGGATAAAGTGCCTGGCATATGAGGTTAATCCACAGAAATTGGAAGAGTTTTCTGTGGATTGCATAACACAGATTTCATGGAATAATTTCTTGTTAGGTTTGAAACAGCCCTTCTGGGAGCAGAAGATATTTTATTCTTGAATCCAAGCATCTTTCTTTCACAGAAGAACATAACAGTTATTCTGACTGTTGCTTTAAGAAAGGATAGACAAGTGGCCTGCCACCCTGGACTTCCAAAGCCCTGAGATTGTGCTAGGAATAAGAACAGAAACCCCAGAACCCAAAAGGAGGGGAAAACAAAACTCTTTCTTACCTGCATGTTTGGGACCACAAGCTACCCAAATATAGGACCTACTAAAAACAGGAGGTCTCTCTTTCCTCTTTAAAGATCCTGAATCCTCAGATGTTACTCCAATAGATGAGAACTGAGTAAAAGGTGAATGGCACTAGAATCTGTTGCCTTATATCAACACTAGAAATGCACTTGACTATTATACCAGTAGCAATGGCACTTAGACTTATATACCGCTTCACAGTGCTTTTACAGCCCTCTCTAAGCAGTTTACAGAGTCAGTATATCGCTCCCAACAATCTGGGTCCTCATTTTACCCACCTCGGAAGGATGGAAGGCTGAGTCAATTTCTTTTTTCAGCAATGACATAACTTTAAACAGTCACTGAAATGAGCAGTCGTTAAGTGAAGATTGCCAGTATGAGGCTGCAGTGGGAAGTCTAGGGTTAGGTTTGGATTTAGCTAAGGTTAACCAACTTGCTGCATAAGTCTAACTCATATTTGAGATCAAGGGTTTTGCTTTAAGTCACCATTCCTAGTTTGTGTTTGATAATGACGCTTGTTAATATAATGCTTATTTTCTGAACAGGAAATGTTTGATGTTATTCTGGATGAAAACCAACTTGAAGATGCTTGTGAACACTTGGCAGAATACCTTGAGGCCTACTGGCGTGCTACACACACTACCAGTAGCACACCTATGACACCTTTGCTTGGAAGAAACCTAGGCTCCACTGCACTATCCCCTTACCCTACTGCGATCTCTGGATTACAGGTATGAATCCATGAGTTTGTCATTGGTGGTGTGCACTTACGTATCCTGTATCGGAGCCAAATGGCTCATAAGAAGACACCTGTACCAGCGTGCCTAGAGATTTAAACATGCCGTGGTTTTGTTGGTTTGTTGGTTTAATTTCTATAGCCACCCAACTGAATTAAGTGACTCTGCCCCATTTTCCTTTAAAGATGAGGTTACTTCCATTAATTGGTATAAAGCACTTGATAATTGAAAAAAATATGGGAATTCTCCTGTAGTTTGTAATTCATAAGAGCCTCACAGTGCTTTTGAATGCATTCTGTGAGTTTGTTCCATTGGAATACAATTAGGGTGTAGGGTGAAAATATACCTGCCAGTGAACATCACTTAATTAATTCACTAGCAAGTATTAGCAACATACGATCAGATCAGGCAGGTGTGTAAATTCCTTTTGTATGATAATAGTTCCATTGGATTTTGGGGGTGGGGGGAGATATATTTCCAGATCTGTATGCAACGATTGTAACACTATTTAGTGTCTCAATATAAAATGAATCTTGACTGGGTGTGTCTCTTGAAAAGTGGAGTGAACAAGTGATATAAATATTTAGTGATCAATCTACAACTCCTTCTATGTTATCATAATGCCACAGCCAACAGGTAATGCACAGATATATGCATTGGATTAACTGATCTGATTAGCCACGAAAAATCAGTCATAGCTACTTTGGTTGATCTTTAATTCTGGAACTTTTGTTCAGATACAAATAGAATATGAGTAACATTAAAACTGTTGTATGTAAATCAAAGGGGATGATGGAACATAACCAGTTCTTCTCCTTTTATCATGAAAAACCTGCTGCACAAGAAATTCTTAAAAAGATCAGCATGTCAAATACATTATGGTGCCACCAATAGTTGTTTCAAATAGATTGGTTTCAGTATTTTGTTCAGGTTGATCAACTCACAAAAGTTGTGTATTAATATGATGCTAATGCCCTGCCTCTAGTATAGTTTGCCTCATTTCTTCTTCGAGGTAACAGTTCAGAAAAATTGGTTCATCTGTTCTGATTTTTAAAAAATGATTAATAAAATATTATTCCAATTATAAAAAGATTCTGAACATTTTTTTCCACAGGGATAGCTCAAAAACGGCGGGCCTTTGACACTTCAAACGTGGCATGTAAATAGTCCTTAATCAGAAGTACGTGTTTTACTAAGTTGGGGGGGAAATGTCTTATCAGTTCAAGTTGTCTATGTTTGTAAGTGCACAGAGAATGCACGAAGGCCAGTGTCGCTAAACAACTCAGCACAATGTGTGTGGCTTTTACTACGTGTTACACTTCCCATAGTCTGTATGTCAGTTGAAGAATTAAGCAAATCCTCCAAACTCAATCTACTCGTCAAAATGATGGTTTTTAATATACTCATTCACTATCTAAGTGGTCTGTTTTTTTCTGTCACTACATGAATGCAGAAGAAGGCATTTAACTTTTGAATGTATGTGTAATATTTTAAGGCCAGGTTCTACACATAGCATTGTTTCTGCTTAGCAAGTGGTTGACTGTGCGAGCAGCGGTTTGAGTTCTGTGGAAACATGCTTGTTTTTAATTGTGAAAATTTTCATTTTCCATCTTGTTTGTGTTGGCCAGCTCCTTCTCTTGTTTGTGTTGGCCAGCTCCTTCTCTCTGCTCCTAAGCAAGGGCAAATGAAATGGACAAAGCAAACTCACTTAGATGGCTTTAACACAATCCCCACTCTTGCCCCAGTTCCATTCACTGTTAATCTGTTTTCCCAAGGAATGAATTTTAGATCCTGGTCGGTTTACAAAGGCTGTTTCATACCATCTTATGAAGGCCTTGACCTAGTTTTTTTTTTAGCTTGCAATCCAAATCGTACTGAACATGCCTACAGTGTCTGTAGCTTATCTGTGAGCTAGTACTAGCCATTGTAGTTACTCCAGATATTAGTAGATGGGAGACAAGATTGCTTTGCCTGTCTGTGTCACCTACTTAATTCTAGAATTATCAGCAAACAGAAAGAAAATAGCAGTGATATATTGCAGTATTAGCCCTCACACAAGGATTATACCTTTGACTTGAAGAACCTGGAGATAAGGAAGTTACTTCATAATCCACTACTGAGAAATGTAAATAAGAATTCATTCAGTATAGATAGAGCAAAAATTGTAGGTGAAGGTAAGTTAAGTAATACATAGCAGGAGTTGAGCAGTGGAATATTTCAGATCTTCTATAAAGCACAGAATGAAAAGCAGATGAATTTAGAACATCAACAGAAGCCTATTTTAAGAGCTTGTTCAGGGTGGGCCTTATTTTGAAATTTTAAAAGATGGCTTTTAAATTTTTCATCAGGGAGTATATCTGAGATCTGATTTTTCTTTTCTCATTGCCAAGTATTTTAAATTAAATCTAGGCACCACATTCTGCTGTTTTCTTACCTCAGCTTTTGAAAGCAGACGGCGAGCCTAAATATATTAAATAGCAGCCAATAATATGTTAAATGAACGATTTCAGGACAAACTTGCAACAAATTCAGAAGAGTGACACGAACTTGTGGCATCCACCCCCCCCACCCCCCCATTTTTTAATGTTTGACTGCTTTGCTATTTATAGAGCCAACGTCTGAGGCATAGCAACCATTCTACCGAGAATTCTCCAATCGAACGGCGAAGTCTAATGACCTCAGATGAAAACTACCACAACGAAAGGGCTCGGAAGAGCAGGAACCGCTTGTCTTCCAGTTCCCAACACAGCCGAGATCACTACCCTCTGGTGGAAGAAGAGTACTCTGATTCGTATCAAGACTCATACAAACCTCAAAGAAACCGGGGGTCTCCTGGAGGATATAGCCATGATTCCCGACAGAGGCTTTGAATTGACGAACCTAGGGGCAAATGGTACTCATTGGTTGGCCACCTGCTGTTGTAACATAGCTAGGCCAAACAAAGCATCTTGATGCTTACAGGCTGCTGTCATTTCGTGCTCTAGAAGGGCAAAAGAGGATAGATCAATGTTTCTCAACCTCAGCAAATTTAAGAATTTAAGGAAAGAATTCCAGGAGGTGAAGACCATTCACCTTAAAGTTGTTGAAGTAGAGAAACACTGAGATAGATAATGCCCTTTCCATTTAGAACGAAACGAGTTTGCTCAAACACTTAGATGTGTTTTCTTTCCCATGTAATGTTTCATTTCAAACTGTTATCTTTTCTCTCCATTAGATATAATTAGACACATCAATTTGTAATGTAGAATACCTGTTGAAGCGCACATATGATAATTTCCTGTCACGGAAATTCCAAATGACCAGTTCCAGTTGGAACCAATTTATAAACCAATTCCTGTTGGAATTTGGGTGAAATTGACTGGAAAGTCAACCTGAGCATGTTGCAGTCAGTGAAAAAAAAAGTTAAATAAAATGAAGAGAAAGTAAATTACAAAATCATAAGCAAAAAAAAAATTAAAAAAAATCTCTAGTACTTGTTTACTGGAAGGTGAATTTATATATAGCTATAGATACGGTTAGAATAAATAATATTAATGTATTTATTTCAGACTACCAAATGTAAACACTCAACTGTGCCAAAAATAATGAATGAATGGAAAAGCTCAAATCCTTTCCACTTTAAACATTAGTGGATTTTTTTTTCTCCCACGCTTATATATTGCAGCAAACCTGTATCGCATTGATATTTTTTGCATTTGCTAGATCATATGAAACTATTTCAGCAACTTGAAATAAACTAGAGGTGAAGACAGGCATGTTTTAAAAAACGTGGTGGAAATGAATGTACGTTCTGTAGCACAGATGAAATGGAGTTTCATTCCCTGAACCTGGAAGGTGTGAAGAGTGCTCTTGGTGTGTACATCTTTGTACATGAAGGTCTTCTGCATGTTCCAAGTCTATGATGGCACACCCAGGGTGTTTAAAAGATATACCCATAGTTTCTCTTAGGTATATGAGAACTAGCTTGTTTCATGTTCCTTGTACCTTAGCACTGAAGATGGGATTAGAGGTTTTGGCTTTGCCCCAACAAGGAAAGTCCGGTTCAGCTACGGTAGATGATTTGCAGAAGGATGAAAACAACCACTACTCTTTTGGGGCTGGTAATGCTAAGCCTTAATGAAGAATCTGTATTAGGCACAAGGATCCTATCCATCTAGTGTCCTGGTTTGTCCAAAAAAGAAAAATTGACCTTGCAAAGAGTTAAAAAGAAGTGCTTATATTTGGGTTTTATCCTGTGCATTAAGCGTATTAAAAGTTGAATGTGTCTCACAGGAAAAGATTAATGTGACATTGTTCACACTGCTTTAATAGTCAAGAAAGAGATTTCATTCAGCCAAAACACTAGAGGAGCAGTATTATGATAAGGCAACCCCAAAGTCTTATTTGGCATGCGAATTCTGAACCATGATGGCCTGTTCTCTTTATCGTGTCATAGAATGAGGTGTACTATTTTCCTAGTCTGAAAGTTATATCCACCAAACATCCTTAATCTTTTCCATCAAAAGTAATATACCGTGATCATTATGCTAAGTTGGCCTTCCACTTGGATCTTGATCTCAAATGTGCTGCAGTCCTTATTTGGACTTCCTGCTTCTTCCTTCCTTCCTGGAGTGAAAAAGCAGCCCTGAGCACATGCAGCCCATTGTACGTATAGGGGAATGTCTTCATTGAAAAGGATGGGAAAACTGGCACGCCAGAACTTTATAAATGCATCATCAAGAAGATGTTTTGGAGCTCTTTGGTTAGTAAGGGACTGTCAGGTCTAGAAATGTCAGAAAACGTCGCATCACGTACACTTCACATCTCAGATTGTTCTCAGAATGGCAAGCTTGGTGTTTATTTTCCACAATAAGCTGCTAATTACAAAATGATAGTAAGGAATACACACACAGAGAGAGAACCTTCTGACCAATATATTCAGTACAAGATTCTAGCGCTCATATTTCTGCATAAGAATGGCTGTTTGAGGAATAGGTGTTGAAAAAAGTAGGTGAGATTAGTGTTCAAGTATTAGAAAAGAGCAGAAAATTATAAAAATTTTCTAAAATTTTAAAATCTAAAATTATAAAAAGTAGAGTTTGATACAAGGAAAAGGTGCACAAATAGCTATATTAAGAAGGGCTATACCAATAATGTGAAGTGGACTAAGGTTACATTAGTTTGACAAAGATAAAATAATATTCGTGTAACTGATATACCTGATTGCTAGAATACAGCAAATGAAAGAATTGGATAGGACATTTCTGTACCTTTTCTCACTAAGCTATGTTAAGATATGTTCAGATAGTTAAAGAATTGAAGCATGAATAGAGTGGTATTTATATATATTTTTTCCTCCAAATGAGAAGTGCACACTACTCACCAGAAAGACTTCAAATACATACACATTATAAGGCACTCAGGTAACTGGAACAGAAATATTCATATTTAATCATCAAAGCATAGGGCATGAGGTTTAATCACATATCAGAGGCCTTCGTTTTAGCACAGAGAATGCCAAATCATACATGATGTTAATTGTCTTTAAGGCTCTTTGGAACTCTTCAAACATGAGGAAATTGCAAAATGTCGTACACATTTTCCCATTGCATGCTGCTGGATACTTACAAAGTAGACATTTTTGTATTTGACCATCAAATCTCAGGTCATGAATGTTACCTCATAACGGAGACCAGTACTCCAGCACAAACCTGCTTATAGACAGTCAGTGGGATGTGGAGCTGCAGTGCCCTTTAGTTGTTTGGAATTAAGGGGGAAAGGACTGTCAGATTTAAAACCAGCAAGGAAGACGTATCCAAGTTGGCCAGACGAAAGATTCATTTCCTACCATAATATTACGAGCTCTCTAAGAATGAATGCAAAATTGTAGAATCACCTCTGTAATTGGCTGCTGCTGATTTTGTAATCTGGGCAGAATGTTTGACGGCACCGTTGGTATCATTCTGGAGCCTTCTTGGTGAGCAGGGTATCTTCTGAGCACTTGCACTTTAATGTATGCCCCAAACTTACATATTATTGGAAATATTTCCTATACAGGTAGTCCTTGACTTACAACCACAACAGAGCCCCAAATTTCTGTTGCTAAGCAAAGCAATTGTTAAGTTTTTTTTCCAATTATGACCTTTTTGTCACAGTTGTTAAGCGAATTGCTGCAGTTGGTAAGTGAATCATATGGTTATTAAGTGAATCTGGCTTCCCGCAATGACTTGGCTTGCAGGAAGCCAGCTGGGAAGGTTACACATAGTAATCACATGGCCCCAGGACAGTACAAGGGTCATAAATATATGCCAGAATCTGAATGCCTGAATTTTGATTATTTGACCATGGGGATATTGCAACGGTTATAAGTGTGAAAACCTGTCATAAGTCACTTTTTGCACTTCTGTTGTAACTTCAAGCAGTCACTAAAACAAATGGCTGTAAATAGAGGACTACCTATAGTGTTGTATTTGAAATCAGACGTTTGAAGATCAGTTTTAAAACCTGATTCCTTAAATGTATTTAGAGTTGTATTTTTTTATTTAGGGAAATCATATTTTATGACCGTTTTAGGCTGTTACGTAATAGATAGTCTTCTAATTCAGCTTGCGTTGTGTACTGGTCCTGTCTCCAACATAGCATTTTATTGGATGGGGAGAATTTTGATGATGAGTTCTTTGATTTGTAACTTTCATGTTCTCCCACTTCTTTGTAATTCTTAAGACCCTTTGTTAGGGTAGTCCTTAGTTGCAAAAATTCAGAGAACCACTAGATGACAAGGAAGAAATTGGCTGCTATCTGACGTTTCTCTGGATTTTTTTTCAGCCCCAAAATTGTAACTAAGGAGTAAAAGTGTTTTCCTTAGCAACTTTAGAAGGTGTCCATTTGGAAGTAGCCTACAGAACAAGAAGAAGGCAAGCCTTAAAGAAGATACTCCAAATAAGAATGGGAGGAACCTCCTTTAAAGGGTGGGCAACTGTGGCCTCTTTACGACCTGTGGAGGTAGAATTCCCAAGCCAGCATGGAATGCTGGGAGTTGAAGTCCCCAGATCATGAAGAGGACATAATTGCCCAGATTAATATATGAAGCCTGGCTTTTAATTGATGAGATAACACCTCTATTCTTCTTTTAGAGAAGTGTTGCTGGTAATGTCCACTTTAAAAAGGCAATTGAAGCAACAGCTGTAGGCCATTTCTCCAGCAGCAATTTATGGCACTTCATAACATCACCTAGCCATTGCTGAACTGATGTATAGCTATTTGCTTTACTATTATTTTGACACACTCGTGGTAGGGTGAATTTTGAAGGTGTTATAAATCTCTTCTGGGGAAATATTCCTAGACACAATTTACTGGGAAGAGTAAAGATTAAGAAAGAAAGGCATAGATAGGATGGTACTGAATTTACACTTTTTATTAGGCCGGGGGGGGGGGGGGGCATATCGTTGCAATTTTTAGAAAGAAAAATTGGGAAATAAAGGAGCTTGGGAAAGAGCAGAGTTGTTATTTAGTCACTGTTGGTATTGTAAACCCAATTCAATACGTGTATTTAAAATTTGTGTTACCACATTTTTAATTCGCTGTTGTAAATAATGGGCTGGCTGGGCAGGTTTTTTGTTTTCCCTTGCAACAAAATACAGCCCCCCCCCCCCAACTTACAACCACTTGTTCATGGAATGAACAGCCACTTGTTCATTTTACTCCAGACTTCATAATACTCTGTCTCACCCTTATCTTTGATTTCTAAAGTTAATCTGTCCAACTTTGCACAGACTAATATTTTCCTTATTATTTCACTTTCTGTAGGGATATCTTCATTCTTCCAGTTTTGAGCATACATCAATCTCAACTTATAACCATTCATTTAACAACAGTTGTAAGTATCTGGAGATAGCAGAATAGAAGAGAAAGAACAGGAGAAAATCACAAAATACAAAGACCAGTAAATAGTGGTAGAACGGCTGTGGCAAAAGAAAGCAAAGATAATAGCACTAAGAGTAACAGACACTTTGGATGTACTCTCAAAATAGAATAGAACAGAATAACAGGGTTGGAAGGGACCTTGGAGGTCTTCTAGTCCAACCACCTGCTCAGGCTTACCCTATACCATTTCAGGCAAATCGTTTTCCAATTTCTTCTTAAAAACTTCCAGTGATGGAGCACCCACAACTTCTAGAGGCAATTTGCGACCCATGCCTAAAGTTATAGTCATTGCAGCACCTGTGTGGGTCACACGATCAAAATTCAGGTGCTTGGCAGCCCACCCACATTACCACAAGGGCGCTGCAAATTGCCCCACCCCCCTGTTTCCTGGCCTTTTGGCTTCCTGCTGCCTTGCCTCCCCAGCTTGTCTTTGCCGCTGCCTTGTTCCCACTGCTGATGAGGCATGTCTGGTCTGGGGCTGGGCCAGCCTGAAGCTGACTTTGTTCTGTAAAAAAAGGGGGGGGGAGCCAAAAGCAGTCAGGATTTCTCTTTTTCACAAGGTGAAACCAGCCCCAGCGTGGCCCAGCAAACAGGCCAGGCAGCGCCATTAGCAGTAGAAGCAAGAAGACAGTAAAGAGCCAGGGTGGCGCAGTGGTTAGAATGCAGTATTGCAGGCTAACTCTACCGACTGCCAGCAGTTCCATCCTGACCGGCTCGAGGCTGACTCAGCCTTCCATCTTTTCAAGGTCAGTAAAATGAGGGCCCCGATTGTTGAGGGCAAATAGGGTGACTCTTCTTAGAGAGGGCTGCAAAGCACTATGAAATGATGTATCGGCATAAGTCTTAAGTGCTGTTACCTGGGGTGCAGGGCAGCAGTAGCCTCGGAGTGCAGGTAATAAGGGTGACTGGAATTGGCTTCCTGGAACATGGTAAGCAGCCCAGAGCCAGACGGCTTGGGGGCTGCTTGCCCATCTCACAAGGCAGGGTTGCAGGTCGGC